ATATGATTATCAATTTTCTAGATCTAAAATCTATTTATAGGGGGGAGGAAGGATTGGCGCCATGATCATAAATTGCCAGATAACACCAATATTGGGCAAATTGTCGAATACGATATTTTGGCTCAACCAGACAAATGATTGTCTGACACGTACCGCTTCGCGGCACGTGTCAGCCAATCATTTGCCTGGTTGAGCCAAAATACCATTATTCGACAATTTTTGCCCAATATTGTATACTTAATTTATTGTCTACATTTTCGAAATTTCCCAATACTAACGTGACTTTCAACTTTCATTAGCCATTCTTCAACAAAAATTACAAATACTGCTCTAATTTCTGCCAATTCTGCTTCAAATTTTGATTCTATAAAATATGCGAATTATGCAATCAAGATTTATGCTATCGCATATTTGCACTAGCCCTTGACCTAAATTGTAATTTATACATACGATATCAGTTTCTGAAATCAATGATGCAATAATACTGTGTATTGTAAGGTTGTAACTTTCGTAACACAACCCTATTTAGAATATGGCACGAGACGGTTAGATAAACTCAAATTTTATACATACTAGTTGAATAAAATTTCATTGTGAATACGATGCACAACATATACGAATAAAAAAATTCAACTAATTAACATTACGTACTGTAACATTTATGACATAATTTATCACGTTACCTTAGTTAAACCATAATCTTCCACTTCGTCCCACTTTTTGTCTTTCAAAGAGTGGAATTTAGTTGGTCCAGTGGTTTCACAATTCATACAAAGCTTAGAGTCAGACATTTTTTTACTGAGCAAATATAATATAAAGGTCGAGAGATTCAGAGGGATTCAACTGATATTATTAAAGTATGTCACGAAGACTTCAAGTTCTCTTAGTACACTTTACTGGGTTAATAGAAAAGATAATCTACCCAAGCTTCCGAAAAAAGTATTGTAACACGTATAAAAAAATTTCAGATCAATTGAATCGCTTGTGTAACGATCTACATTGAAAAAAAGAACTAGCAATAGTAAATTTATATACAGCAAAATTATTGATCTTCAAATAAACATCCACGTGATTTGATGATCAAAATAATTCATGCTATATTATTGGCTAATTTGGCGAGAAGCATTTTTATTAGTTACACAACAGGGGTTTACCATTTTGAATTTAAATATGCAATTTGATTGGTTCGGTGACAAATAGATATCAGAAAAAATTTTAAATTAATATTAACGTTAGATTTCGGTCAAAGTGAAGAACAATAATGCCATTTGGTGTGGAAAAGGCCTTGCAACGTGGAGCCAGGCGCTATCCAATGACCTCCAAGAGAGGGCACAATTATTACAAAGGTAGACCATAGTATTTATGCAAACGTTGAATAATTTTTATACATTTTGCAATAACAAATGTAATTGAAGGTACCGGAAGTGGTGCCATGGGCTGGCATACAAAGAAAGGTAACGGATGGTCTTCTATAAGTAAAAATTTGTATATTCTCTTATTTACGAATTACATTTGTTTTTAGGCGGTTATAAAATTGATTTAAAAAAAGTTCGGACATACGTAGTACCTGATTTATCAGACTGTAAGGTGACAACTTAAATTGTGAATTAATCTTTTATTAATTTACTTAAAATTAACCGCTGGAAATGATGGACAAATAGTACAAACCCTACGTTGAGCCTGATGCTAGAAAAGGCATTACATATAATATTTCACCGGGAAAATATTTGGAACTACTAAGAGAATCTTTGGGAATAGTAAGCACACCCAAAGCAGATGATACAACAATGTCAACAGCAAAATCACTTAGCGAACCAAAAGAGCAAATCGAACGGGATGATAAGCCTGCAAAAGCAGAGCTTGAACAACCAAAAACTGAAAAAGTTTACGAAAGAGAATCATTGTTCTAGAAATGAATTCCATAACGAGTATTGTATTTTGGCAATTCCCTAGCACGTAATAATAATTTCATCCAAACTTGCTTTAATAACATTCTCTTAAATTGTTGTTAATAGTTTGTTTCTATAGTGCCTGTTAAAAAACTATTATAATGCAAGGTTTTTTCATCTAAAAAGCAGCAGACAGCAAATAATTACACATTGTACTACAAGTGTTTAAATTTTTTTTTTTGTTACACTTTACGATTGGAAGCTTTTATAATGAATCTAATGAAAGTTAAAACCTATTACCAAAAAGAAAAATTGAAATTTCAACTCTATCATTTTAAAATATAGTTTTTTATTTTTTTTTTTTACATTCCTACACTATTATAGCAAATCCCACCTCCTTAACATTTCCAGAAATAAACTTTCCCAATGTTGTCCTATTGTCTTTTTCTGGTGAAGGAGAGGGATTGCTTAAAGTGTCTGATGTTCCTTTATGTTCCTTTAGACGGTTTTATCAAAGTAACCTCGCCTTTTTCTGAAACTATGGCGTAGGACATTGTGGGTATATAAGGTGGGTATTGTTGACTAAAAGAATTGGTTGAGGACGGTTCAGGATTCGCGGCAACAATTTCTTCTATAGAAGGTGATGTAAATCTGAAGCGATTCATTGAATAGTTATAAATCAGCAGCAGGAAACTATTCTAAAGCCAATCAAAAAAATAAAAGCTCACAATTTTAAGCCGCCAAGAATAGGTTCAATACGGGTAGACAAGTAAAAATCTCCGGGTCCAGACAATTGTAAAAATTCCTAAAAATATTTAAGTTAGGATGATACTCTATATTATACTATTAAGTACTTATTTTGAACAAAGTCACCATGAATATCTTTAAATAATATACGAACAGGTCCACCAAATACCCATTTCCTAGTTTTTACTGATATTCTTCTTATATTGTCTAAAGTGGGTTTTACGGAAGGGCTATTACGGTATGTGTCTAAAAAAGATGATGACATCTTTGAAAGTCTCTCTCTCATATTTTTTATTAGTTTATTTCTCGCAATTGATGATGGGGAAATTAATGACGAAGCTACAATAGGATTTGTTTGCGAATTCCAAGCAATTAGGTTTCTGAATTAAAGTTATCATCAATGAAAGGTCGATTAATGAAAGAGAAACAAAAGATAACGAAGAATTACTTTGCATTCACCAAATAAGCATCGCCATGATTCAATATTAATCGATGGATAGCCCCATAATTTGAAATTGCTAGTGTACCTCTCCCAGTGACACAATTTGCAAAAGCATTCAATGCACCCTAAATTAATGAATGAATAATTTACTGTAAAATTTAAGTCGTGAAAATCACCGATAAAGGATTAATGTTATGATTTAATATACCATGCCATATACACGGCTTACGTGAACCGTGACTCGTGGGCCCTTCGCGAGAAACGCCCCGTTCCGAACGTAGTATTTTGACGCACCATCCATATGAATGACAGCAATATCAGACAAATTGGTTGGACCCAATAAAATGTCACCAGGATGCGAGCCGGTCGTAAACTGACATGTTAATAAAGTCCAAGCGATTGATGTCAAATAAGTGCTCAGAATAGTATTATTTGTATAGCATTCATTGGTTTATTACTTTATGATAAATTAAGGAACCACCAGCAAGCTTTCTACCAATTGCAATAATAATATTTCCATTGGTAGTACGTTCCACTTGAACCTATTTGTGATACATATAAATTATCTTGAATAAAACAACAAAAGAATTTATTGTAATCACGCACTTTACTTGATACGGCAACGGTAGACCCAGGCATTGCAAATATTTCTGACCTTGGTGGAATTTTAACCAAGAGTAATGCGCCCAAAGTTCCTGGAGAAATGATTTCAAATGTAGGATCCGGAATAGGGTGTTGCTTTGTCCAGTGTTCTGGAGAATTTACGTCTACAAAACAATGAGTATGATATGAGAATTAATTAGACTTTATATAAAGTTTAGTAAAAGAGACACCTATTTGAACTCGACAGAAATTACAGAAGAAGTACAACTCAGAAACTGCTTTTGTTCTTTGCCATTTGTTCGTTCTCCCTTTTCTACATCCTTTTTTCCGATAACTTTTCCGCTAATTTCGCCTGAATTTTCGGGAACTTTTGCATTTGATTTCTGATTTGAACTGCTATAAGCTAAGTCAGCATAAGGGCGAGTGAAACGCTTGAAAAACGTTATGGAGCCTCGTGAAAGTGCTGTCTGAAATGACATTTGCTGTATAAAAACCATCAAGGTAAAGTACGATATCAGATATGGAGATCTAGATCTAATCGATTATCGATATCATAGAAAGACATTCATATGATTGGTCAATTTTTGTAGATCTAACTGTGATTTCTCGTGTTAATTAACCAATCAAAATGCATAATTTTTAAAAATATTTATCGTTTTAAGAATTTGTCTGAAATACAGTAGAAAGATAGATACGCATAAATAAACCCAAACTTATTAAGATTCAGTATACTACAGTACTGGACATCCACTTTTTATATATAAATATAAAAATGCTTATAACTTATGAACAAATGACTTTAAAAAAAATCCGTCTTACAGATTTGTTGCTTTTAGTCTAAGCTACAATTCTTTAAGATAGTTTTTATTTTATTATAAATTTAATAAGTTATTAGAGCCTAAAGTTAAAAATTTGGCGTTTAATATATAAAAAAATTGTTTTTATAAATTTTTAACCAATCAGAATCTTGTTGCACAAAAATAACCAATCAAATTTGAGTATAAATCTCAAAATTTGGCGCTTTTAAAAAAAATCAGATGTTTCTTGCTGTCCGGTACTGTATAAACTTTATAGCTAATAAATCCAAACACAATACAAGAACTAATTTAAAATGTATATTAAACTAGATCTTCTACTATTAATGAGCTTGAATTTATTCAAATTATTAAGCATTTAAATTTAATATAATAAAGTACAACCTATTTTTAATTACTTTTACTTTTATTATAAATTTATAGAACTCTTTCCGACGATCACCTGGACCAAAATTTTTTGCTAAAGAAAAACCGGAACTACTTGTTGGAGAGTCGTGGCCTATACAGTGGTTTGTCTAG